TCACTGAAGAATATTCAGTTTGTGCACGGTGTTATACAACGGTAATAACACGGTACGTTACATATACTAGGCACAGTGTGTTAACTGTAACTAGTACGCCAAGTGCACGGTGTAACCCATATAAATAATCGGTATTCATTTTGACCAAAAACACAGTGCACTGAACCGAAATACCACTGTACATTGCACCATCGTTTACATTATATTAACACATTGAGTGCACCAAGATTGCTACTCGGGAAGTATCGTCGTAATTATTATTATTTCAAATTAAATTTGTATGATGGAATTTATTTCCAATATTTTTGATATAAGTTAAGCGGTTGATAGTTTTATTTTTATATTTATTCCACATATCTTGTAAGTATTCTTCTTTATGTACAGTTTCCTTTTTTTTAATATTCATTACATTGTTTTTTATTGAGTTAATTTTTAAATCTGTTTCACTTTGAATTTGCATGAGTAGTATATCTATGACTTGATGTATGTGTGGATGTGGTGTATAAAATTGGCTATTATAATGTTTATGGAAACTTTCTGCGTTATTCGTCGTTAAACGTGTTGCGCAAACGAGTGATYTATTTTCAGGTAAACGACTGATTTCGTCGTGCGCAAGCGAGTCGTCGATTTTCAGGTAAAAAATTTTGAATATGCGCAAACGAATTGCAGCGCTTCATTACTAATCATCAATCCCAATGAAAATTATAATAGCAGTTAACCTGTAATTTTCTCAATCGATTGATACCCTTTTCTAACGATTTGGTCCTTTCATAAAGAATACCAAAATTTTAACACATATTAAACGGAAATGTTTAGGTTTCTGTTAATATAGGTACACGGTCATGTCGTAAAGCTTTTCTTTTACTTAGCTCGCAACATTATCGTGTCGCTAAATTTCTATAACAAAAATCTATAAACATACTGGAAAAAGTAATTTTAACGTTTACCGAATTTAGTGAGAGTAATCCGTTTGTGACTTATTAATGCTTAAATATTCGTTCAATTTACTGCTACTGGGCAATTTTACAAACCCAACAGTAAAAACCAGAAGTTAAAACGAAATTTTATCTCAATCTAACAATACCCCGTAGAGTAATATAGAGATGGCGTTTTGTATATCGACAGTAGAATCAAATTGAAACCATCGAGGAGGCAGTTTACAATATTCTTATCTTGTAGATCGCGCTGCAAACATTTCAATATTTATAAAATAATCATTTATCATAGAAAATTTTTAACCTATTATATTTCTATATTATATATAGACAATATAGACTAGGTATGGTAATTATTAATTCTAACTTTTTCGTTTCTTTGTTTTTCGATTTTTAATTTATTCATATTGTATTATCTTCAGCAAAATGCTTAGTTGTTTTGTTTGTGGCAGAACGAGGAATAAAAATTCATCAATTGAAGATATTACTTTTCATAAGTGAGTATAAACTTATTGTATACCTAATATTTGTTGTATTTGATATTATGGTCATAAGGTCATAACTAATAATATTAATTATTAATATAACAACACTTATTTAATTTATATGTTTCCTGTTAATGAAAAAATTAGAGACAAATGGAAGAATTTTGTTTTGGAAAATAAATTAAGTATACAAAGTACAAATAAATATTCTGTTAATAAATTAATAAATTTTGTTCAAAACATTTTCTTCAGACTTGTTTTGTGATGCGAAATAATAAAAGATTCTTAGTTAAAAATGCAGTACCATCAAAAATAATTTTAAGGGTCAAAAGTGTAAGCAAGTCATTTTAATTTATTCATAATTTTAATAATATGATTATTTTAGGCTAGAAAATGTGTATTCCGAAGAAGTCAAACTACTAAATCAGCCAATTGTGTGTTCTGATAATGAACCAAAAAGTAGTTTTAAAGTAACACAAACCCTGATCAAGGTACACTATTTTATGTTATTCTAAAAAATTAGATACCTATATATTATTATATAGTTAGATTATTTTGTATAAGTTATTTGATTATTAAATAAAATATACTTATATCCGTWAGTTATTGTTGTAGCAGTTAGGTAACTATTCTTGATAAATAAATCAAAATAAACCCAAAAGGTTGAAATTAATATTTATTTTATTTGTTATTAGTACATAGTTGATTAAATTTAAATACATTTTAACATTCTTGTTTAAGCCACAATATTTTATTAGGTACCTGATTATGTTATTTGTAATGGAGAATCAGTATCAGATTTCAACAAATCTACCTTCTTAAATACAAACACCTCTGTTAGTGCCAAGGAACATGAAGATCAAGTAGTTGGCTTTACACTTTAATTAGCATTGTTTAATAATAATATACATTTAATTTATAGATTCCTGTTAGGTACTGTTAATGTAAGTGAAATATCTCCTTTAACCTCTAAACATTCAAGTTATTTGAATACCACTAAAGACGTGTCTGTTACTCAAAGGTGGGCAAGTTAATGAAAATAATTAACTCAAGTTAAGTTAAGTTAAGAGGACACAAGATCGATAAGTTAAAAGTTAAGTTAACAAATTATAAATTTAACTCGATAAGTTAAAAGTTAATATAGGAAAAAAAATTAACTTAACTCAGTTTAAAAAAGTTAATCAATTTTTTTTAAATTATTAAGTAAATCACATAAAGAGGGAATGTGTCTTTGTAGTTTCTAATTTATATATTATAAATCAATTTGATTTAACTTTTATCATAATGTACACTGTATACCCTTTTACTTTTTTTTTATTTATTAAATTAAACTATTTTTAACTAGTTTAACTTATTAACTTATTTTTTTAAAATCAACTGAGAAAAGCTAAGTTATTTCAACTGTAAATTAAACTAGTTAAGTTCATAAGTTAATTAGAAAACAAAGTAACTATTTAAGTTTAAAAGTTTAAAAAAATTGACTTTTTAACTTAAGTTTAACTTTTTAACTAGTTAAAACCCACCTTTGCTGTTACTATTAATGTTGATGATATTAATGAATGTGGAGTGATGCCATTAACACCTGAGAATGCAAATTCCTTAAATATATCTGAACATGCGAAAAATCATGCACTTTACCGGTATTTGTTGTTGTCCATCTTTATTATCTATTTTAATTTGTTTATAATATTATGATCTTATGTGTTTTAGAAAAATTTAATTTCATCATTTGTGGCTGCTTCTGAGATTGATTCTGGCGATACTCCCAGACGACTATTTTTAAAACGTGGTGTTCATCAGTTATCAAATGAAGTAAAACTGTAGAACAAAAAATTTAAGTTACTCCAACAAACAGCAAGACGTCAGAGTAAGAAAATTGCTTACTTGAAGTCTATAATTCATAATCTTCAGAAGAAAAATCTAATCAATGATAAAACCACGAACACATTATTGGATTCTTTTGGTAAGCATAGTGATTTGATTACCAATTGGGCAAAAAAAAAATGTTGGGAAACCACTTTCTAGAAAATATAGTCCTGCTTTACGCCAATTTGCTTTATCCCTTCATTTTTTTTCTGCCAAGGCTTAGGTTTATGTAAGAAAAGAATTTAACACTATACTTCCACATCCTCGCACTCTATCAAAATGGTATTCTCACATGAACGCTGAGCCTGGCTTTACGCATGAAGCTTTCAAAACTCTATCGCTTAAAGTAAAACACTCAGCTTGTCCTGTTTATTGCAGTCTTATGGTTGATGAAATGGCTATTCGTCAACATTTGGAGTACGATGGCAATAAATATTATGAGCAAGTTAATCTTGGTAATGGTATGAATGATGACTGCTTAGACATAGCAAAATAGTGTTTTGTCTTTATGGTTGTAGCAGTTAACGAAGATTGGAAGATTCCTATAGGCTATTTTTTAACCTCAAGTTTAAATAGTTCACAAAAATGTGAACTATTAAAACCTGCATTGAGTTTGTTGAAAGAAACTGGTATTAATATAATAAGTTTAATTTTTGATGGTTGCTCATCTAATATAACAATGGCCAAACTGTTAGGTTGCAATTTCAATATTAGCACATTAAATACAAAATTTGATGCACAATCTACTAACAATAGTAATACTGAAGTAGCTGTATTTTTTGATCCAGCGCATATGATTAAATTCGTAAGAAATGCTTTTGGCGAAAAAAAAATTGTATGGATGGGGATGACCAAATAATTGATTTTAGTTTTATACAAAAGTTATGTGTTCTTCAGGAAACAGAAGGAGCCCATTTGTCCAACAAGTTGAGAAAACAACATATTCATTATCATAAGCAAAAAATGAAAGTTAAGCTGGCTACACAGTTAATCAGTCAGTCAGTGGCTGATGCTCTTAAATTCTTAAAAAATAACTTGTGTCTTCCCGATTTTTTGCAAGCTGGTTCAACTATTAAGTTCATTGAAATGTTCAATGCTGGGTTTGATATCCTGAACTCTAGATCAGCAAATTGTATTGGGAAAAAAAAGCTATGTGCGAAGAAAACTATAAAGAAATATTAGAGTTTGCAAATGCTATAACAAAATTATTCAATGTTTGAAAGTCAAAGAAAACAATAATTTTATACCTGTATTGGAGTCAAATCGAAAAACTGGTTTCATTGGATTTATTATGTGTTTCAATTCTTTATTAAACTTGTACTCTAGTTTAATAGCAACAAAAATGCTGAATCATATTAAATTTACAAGATTAGTCAAGACCATTTAGAATTATTTTTTGGTAATGTCATATCACTTGGTGGATTCAATAATAATCCAACGGCTCGTCAATTTCAATCTGCATATAAGAAACTTGTGATAAGAATTAACAATATTCCAAGTTTTAATTCTGGCAATTGTATGCCATTAGAACCATAGGCGCAACTAGACCTGCAATTTAAGGGGTGCTAAAATTTAGTATACCTTGGTAACCCGTGGGGGGCTTCCCCCACCAACACACAACTTCAAAGCTATTAACAACATGCTTTTATAACTCAACTTCATATTTATATTAATTTATATGATAACACATTTGATATTTTGATAATGATGAATATTAAGGAACAATCACTAAAAACATTATAATTAATAATTAATTACAATAACTAATAACAACTATTTAGATAACATCTATTATTTTAAAACAATTTTCCTGGTTTTTGTGTTATATCTATCTAACACTGTTTCCGTTTGTATTTTATTTGATAAATCCYTCTCAATATTTAAAATTGACAAGTCACTAAAGCGCTGCTGCAACATACTTGTTCTTAGCCAATTTTTGATACGTCTCATACTAGAAAAACTACGTTCACAAGTTGCAGAACTTATTGGGATTGTAATTGCAATTTGAAGTAGCTTATACAAGTTAGGAAAAGCTTCTTTATTTATTTTTCCTTTAATGTCATYAAAATTGAAATCTGGTGGCAAACAGTTTTTGAAAACCATCATTTCAGCTTTTAATAAATCGATTGAAACTTTTGTCACATTCTGAAATTGAATAGTAAAAATAATAAAAATATTAAAGTTATAGTAACTTAAACTACACTACTGAAAAAAAAATTGAATTCAATATTGAAATTGTATTTAATATTATATCAATTTTACTTWATAGTTATTTATGAACTCTAAGCTTCCTTCATAGTTCATATTCATAAAATTATCAACGGAGCAAGCCATAGATAAACTTTCTTCAGAGAACCTATATTTTAAATTAACGATTATAGAATCAATTATTGGATAGTATAAATTTTGTCTCCAATAGTCTTCAACAGATTGTGTAATATTTGGTTCATTTTCTTCTCCAGTTGTTAATTGTAAGTAAAAATTGTTCAAAGATTTCGGTTGAGTTCTTATCCGTTTTCTTCCTAATCATTAAATACATTTTTTATTAGTAACTTAAAATTAAATTACTGTTATATGTATTTAAATTTTGATTTTTGTGAACATGAATTTTGTTTTGATGGTATTGTTAATTAATAATTATTACATATGAATGTCTAAGAAATGTATTTCACACATAAAGTTAAAACTTATTTAAGAAAAACCTTTAGATTTTACAAAGGTTTACAGTTAATCTAATATTTACCTTTGTGTGGTACTTCAAGGGTTATATCATTCTCTTCAGCTAAAGATGTAATTTTTTGCCAAAATGTAGAAAATTCAATGTCAGAACGTAATTTTTCAATACTTTGTATACTTCCATTGATAATGCTTTTTGCTTTTCCTAAAGTGGCATTTTTAGATTGTAATGTGACACTTATTATATTAATGATACCAAGAATGTCTTTCAATAGAGTAACTCCAATAAAAAAAGCACAGTTTTKTATTTGACCGAGAATACCTAAAATTATAATTAAGAAAAAAATTCAACAATTAAAAATAATGTATCAAATTATAATTACATTAMATAATTTTTTTTCAATTACCGATAGCTTCAATAGCATCTTTGTCCACTTGTGCTTCAACTTCATTCTTTAAAAATTCTAATATTGATGAGTAATTTTTTATCATCGATTCGCAATTTTTATAGCGACATACCCATCTTGTATCGCATATCCTGAGAACATTTCCTTTTTTTAAACCTAGTTTAGATTGAACTTCAATGAGYTTAGCATTGTTGGATGGTCGAGAGAAATGAACATAAACCATTTCTAAAGTATTAAAAATACTTCGAGCTCTCTATAAATGTTAATACAGATTATATAATTATATGATAAAAATTTTATTATTTTACTACAGGTATAGCCGTATAGGCATTCTGTTAAAAATACTTCAATGAATTATTGTTTGATTATTATTTTATTATTATTATTAWTWTTTTTATTATCTTAAACTAATTAATACCTTTATTCCTTTACACATATCCACAACAATCAAATTTAATCTGTGTGCCATACAGTGTGTGTATATGGCACATGGAAATTGTTGTTTAATTTTTGACTGGACACCTCCAAGGTGTCCAGCCATTACGCTGGCACCATCATAAGACTGAGCAACAATATTTAATGTATTGATATTAATACTTAAATTTTGAAAACAAYTAAAAACAGCAGAAATWATATGGTTGGCAGTTTGTCCATTAGAAACATCTATGAATTGCAAAAATCTTTCACGTGCCTCAAGACCAACAGCATACCGTACACATACAGATAACTGTTCTTCTTTATGGGACCTGTGGACAAATATATATTTACATTTAAAAAATATTAATTTGATCAAAATATAGGTATATATGACTATTATAAATATTACAATGGTGAAATATATTGTACCTGGCTTCATCAACCATAAGTGCAAAATTCCCAGAAACAACAATTTCCTCAACAATAATTTCTTTAATTAGGTCAGCACTTATTTTAATAATTTCGTCCTGCACTTTCCAACTGGTATGGTTAATTTTATTCTCATATACATTTTTCAAATCTGGCATGAACTTTGAAAATACCATATGGCACATTTCCTTATAATTACCTAAAATTRTATTTATATTATTACAAGAAAATATTAATTTTATTAATAAATAATAATATTATAAATGTACCTTGATTTAAAGAATCTAAATTTTCATTATGTCCTCTAAATGCTATGCCTTGCTTAGCAAGGTATAACACAACATCAATTAAACTAGACATGTATTTGCGATTAATTTCAACTTGTTTTTTATGGAAGCTAGATAGTTGTGTCACAACAKATCCTGTCTTTAAACTACTTTTATATGCACACATTTTTGATAAATTAGTCAAATGAGTACTGGTAGAAGAATGTTTTTTTGATTTTACAAGAAACTGAAAAAAATGTGGTCGATTATATTAATCATGATACAAATTTAGTATTCAATACTAACGTCTAACACACTAAGTTATTCTAGCGAAGTTTAAGTTTTTGAATAATTTTTATTTTTTAATTATTTTATTTGTAAAAATACATATACTATTACACTTCAAAATAAACTACTTACCTTTTGCCAATTATTGAACCCAGATTTAATCCATATATTTTCACCTGAATTTTCTGAACCGAAAGTTCGGCAAACAAAGCAGAATGCAGCGTTACGCTGAACACTGTATTCTAGCCAATCACAT